CTCACAGCAACCTCAAACTCCTGGGCTCAGACGATCCTCCTGCCTCAGCCTACGGAATAGCTGGGACTACAGGCATGCGCCACCATGCCCGGCTATTTTTTTTTCTATATATTTTTAGTTGTCCAATTAATTTTTTTCTATTTTTAGTAGAGACAGGGTCTCACTCTTGCTCAGGCTGGTTTCAAACTCCTGAGCTCAAACGATCCGCCCACCTCGGCCTCCCAGAGAGCTAGGATTACAGGCGTGAGCCACCGTGCCTGGCCGAGAGAAAATTCTTGAGTCTGTTTTTTTGTAAAAATACAAAATATGTGTATTTATAAAAGGGAAAGATAAGGAAGAAGATAAAGGAAAGTGTGATTATTGATTTTGAGCATAGTCTAGATTTTTTCTTTCAAAAACAGGAATTAAAAAAAATTAGTATTTGTCCACATATTTCAAGATTCCTTTCAATAGGTACCATCAAAGCATTTTTTTTTATTGAAGCTTGTGCCTCATTTCTGCAGCAGGAGAGTGATTCCAGAGGGGCAAATGAACATTTATACACACACACACAAACTTAATTGCTGGCATCCCTCTTTTCAAGTTGCATATCCTGAAAGTGTTGAGGATTGCGCTAGAAATAGTGGTGCTCACTCAACATTTCATCACTGCCCATACTTTTCAGCCTCCTTGCAACTTTACAGGACCTTGTGACCAGTTTTGGTTAATGGTTGTGGTTGGAAATGATGTGTAATGTTTGCTACTTTAGCATAACAGTCTCTCCCAGCTACTGTAAAGGTTTTGCACAATATACATCACAACACACTTCAATTTTTCAGAAATCAGCAATTTTATCTTTCTCGTGTAAAAAAGATCGAAAAGTTGTATTTTGACAGTCATGGATTCTTAGTGCTGGGTCATCTTTCTAGCTGGGGAAAAGGAGGAGCTGACACACCTTCCTAGCTGGGAGGTCTGTAATGTGTCTGAAGATGGATCAGATTGTCCCATTTTAAAAGGACAAAGCGACCACTTGAGTAGAATTTTAGGGTACTAACTGATGCCTTTTTCACTTAGGGGACACCCAGGGCTACACAGAACATTAATCGTCTTTGCATAATTTAAACACACTTTTAACTTCCATTTCCAATGTTTAATGTTTAAATGTTTGAATCCTTCTGCTATATTTTAAGTAGCAAATTCAACTCTGGCAGCCGTTGTATTATCTCAAAAGATAATACACCTTAAAATCATTTGAACTCATACCATTTGAATATTCAATTCGTGATAAAAAAATTTAAACATTCTCTTCAAAATCAGTTTTTAACAGTAATCAGGCCTATTAAGTTATCTTTTAAGAAAGCAATTGCCTAAAGAAGCA